TTAAACAGGGCAGATCCAGAGCTATGCCACCCGGTAGGCGGTCATGCGGTAGTAGTTCTGACTGTGGCTGCGTGCGGCCCACACCAGCAGCGCGGCAGCCATCATGTGAAGTGGTGAGGAAATGAGGGCCAAGTAGAGGGACCAGCCCAGAGAGCCATCCACCTTATCAGGTAGCATTGACACCCTGTGGAGCAGGTCCATGCCGGCCAGGTAGCAGCACACTGTGGCTAAGGTGCAGAGACCTGCAGGGCACAGAAGAGTGGCTGTAAGGGGGCATCTTTAGAGGACTTTTCAGGTTGATGTAAAACACATACACCCTCATCATAGTGTGAGGCAGCACAACAATCTGTAAACATACTTTTTCATTTTATAAAGTCAATATGGCGAACATGTTAGCAAACAATTGCTTATTTAAACACGCAGCAGACACCAAACAACATTAGCATTAAGATTTGTATTTCTGGCCACTTCATGAATGTAAATCCCACAATACACTCTCTTTTTTGCTCCTTTAACCAATTTAGTGACTCAAATGGTGAAATCAGCCAGGTATCAGTTAGCAGTTCTGTGCAGCTAAACAGGTCTTACCAGCCAGCAGGTGAAGTACTCCTATGCCCAGAGTAGGGGTGAGGCTTTGGCAGAGGCAGGCACAGAACCCAGTCAGGCCTGCCAACACAACCAGACCCAGGGACACCAGTGGCAGCAGAAACTGGCACCTCCACAAGTCTGTAAATACATGCACACACACACAGAAAGGTATGAGACCTTGTGCATCATGGTTGCCTAAGTTTTTATTTACACACCTTCTTATGCATGACAGAAGCAGCAGCCCTGACTGGAGGCAATGTATTATTCAACATCACATATTGGTCATAATTAATGCACAATGGAGAGAAGAGGCTGAATCTGGTGCAAATTTTCTTACAGCTTCATGCAACATCTAACATTTAAATAGAGGTAAAGTTGTTGTGACTGGACTTACAGGTGCGCAGCATGTCCTCTCCACTGTTGTGGTTTCCCGGTTCTGTATACTTGGGAGTGAACTGCTGAGGTAGAGTGAAGCTTCGACACTCTAGCATCATCTTGGAATCTGAAAGAGGTTGTTTAATTGAAGAACTAAGAGTCTAAGCATGTTTTGGACAGTTTACTACAAATAACACATAAACTTTTTTTTCTAATATACTTTAGATTGCTGTGTGTATTTTCTACCTGCCGTGTACATACTGCAGCAGATGTTTTCAAAATACACACAAAATACTAAATAATTTACACTGACAATGTCAATTGGCAATCCAGCCTTGATCATCATGAGACAGATCTATCAGGGTCTGGGTGGCTTACCACCTCCACTAAACTGTTTGGGAGAACCCATTAATTCATATTCAGATAAATGGATGGTTCGCTCTGTGAATCCAATTTAATGATTATACAGGAAAGGCACAAAATGGGGCTAATACCACCCATAATCCAAGAGTAACAAATTCCCGCCTAACAGGTCCTAGCTGTAGGGGAATTGGCCACACTTGGTTGCTCCATAGAAACCCAGACAGCAGCTTCTTGAACTTCTGAGAAAAGAAAACTAATGACTCATCTGTCTTGTACCTACATGTTTCTGCACTGTATGTCTTTTTATTGTACCTCTTTATTTATTTTTTATTTTACTGATATGGGCCGATGTATCTGAAATAAAAGTAGTTTGACTGTTTGGTTAGGTGAGGTGAGTTATTTACATACCTGGCTCTTTGTACCAGAGACCGTTGGCAGGAACGAGCACACACCGCCACCAGAGGCCCACAGTCCCGTTAAGGCGGAAGAGGGTGTCGCTGTAGGTTTTCTCATCAAACTCCCCATCCATGAACTCCTCATACAGGGAGCGCAGCTCTGATACGTTAGCCTCCCCGCGCACGGTGGGGCTGCTGTACTGGTACCAGTGCTGAGTCCCGATGGCCACTGACAGATACACTGTGGCCAGTATGCTCAACACACAGGCGATGACCAGAGCTGTAGCGTAGCGGTTGTCAACCATTGTTCACCGAGCCGGAGATACGTCAAAAGGGATTAAGTTGATGCCACTGGTCGAGTCGTCGCGCATCAATTTGGTCAAACTACGATGCTTCCTGTCACTCTTATACAAGTCACTCTGGCATCGTTAAGTCTGCAAAATACACTGTGCAATTACCACCGACTGCCTTTTATTTTAATCACTCATACTCGTCTCCAGTGCTGTCCTAACAGTCAGCGTCAGCAGCCCTGCAGGCCGACTTGGATGCGCCATCTGTTCCCTTGTCCCACTTCCACAGATGGTGGGTGGCCCGACGCTGCGGAAGATAACGGTCTCACACAGTTAGTCCGAGATAATAACTCCTAGTCCTTACTAAGAAAGTACAACAGGGATGTATTATGGGTCAGGCAGCACGAGCCTGCAAATTGCTTGGGTCTGTTTTGGCGTGCAGGATAATGCCGTGTACACTCAGGATGATATGAGTTGTAAACACACTAATCCATGCTTTTCCACTTCCGGTTCCGCTGATCAGCAGATATAAAAATAACCGTTTCTTAGCCAGGATGGTTTCGCTTCATTCTGTCAACATTACTGAGAGAGCAGTGAAGCACAATGTAGGCTATAGTAAGGGGGGCAAAAGCAACACAGCAGCAATATCAAAATAACATCTATTAAAACAAATGATAATAGTTAATCACCCCCCCCAAGCTGTCATGTGATCATTACAGAGCCACTATCTAATGTATCTTTTTTTATTAGCAATTAATCCTTAGAAAAATTAGTTAAAAATGCCCATCACAAGATCAAAGAGCAAGTGGGTAGGCTATTTCTTTAAATTATTATTTTGTTCCAACAACAAAATAGTGTGTGTGTGTGTGTGTGTGGGTGGTGGGTGGGGGGGGGGGGGGGGGGGGGGGGCAACCGATTTATTGACCCCTCAAATAAAATTAAATATAGTGGAGGCTCTAAGGCCTGAGAGACATGTTTTAGAGGGGATAGACAAGTAAGATGGTATTTTTTCAGCTTTGTCTTATACCTTGGAAATGATGAATGTTTAAATAAACATGAATAAAATAATGTTATCTTAGGCATGATACTCCAAGCAAACCACATGTTACCATAGTAAAGTTATTGAAGGATACAATATGTTGAGAAAAGAGGGTTGAAAAGTGGTTAGATTTCAAACAGTGCAGACTCAAACACTCACACTCAAATATCAGAGAGTAATAGTACGTGTTTAAACGTGGAATGAATAGTTAATTAATAAGTGCCAACAACACTTGTAAACTGAAACATTTTCAGTTTATGAGACAAGAAAAAGAAAGACAACTTCACATAAGTTACATAAGTTGCCCATGTTATGCAAGTAATGTATGTTAAGTTATGTAAGAGAATTGACATGGGTAATGTAGTTTTTTTAACGTAAAGAAGTTATTTTATTTTGAAAGTGTAACCGAACATTGCATATTTATTGTTGCTAACTTGACACCTGAGCCCTAAAAGTCGAAAAACGTCGCCAAAGGGTTACCCAGTGCACTAAAAAGTGATGCCGAGAGGTCTTGACCAAAGGTCATTTGTGAAGAGTTGAGTGAGAATGTGTTGTCTTTTCCCAGTGATAAATAATTATTCCATAATACATTCCAGACCTTGGTCAAACATAACATAAATGACTGCACATTACATTTTGGGCAACAGAGGACAGCCAATGCAGTTGATGTTTTCATTGCCTGGACTGCAGAAAGGAAGACTATGTAAATATTTTAAATAAATATCACATTCTCCATCCCACAAATAAAACACTAAATTTATTAGCAATAAAACACCCCTTGTTCAATTCAACAAAGGAGCAGGGCAGGATTCAAGGTATCCCAGTACACCAGATACACCCTTAAAAAATACTAACCCTAACCCAAAGAAAAGTCTATTAAAAGGTATTGTTTGTATTATTCTTGTTTGTGTTCATTGTGTATTAAAATTAATAACTATATCTTATAATTAGCAGTATCTAGCACACAAATGTCTAGATACTGTTTCAATCAGTTACTGTTTTTTGTGTGGATGGAAAAGTCACAGTTGTGGTGGTTACTATTTCTTGAAGAGGTGTGGTCGCTGTTCAGAATAACTGTCAAGATTGTGAGGACTAAAGATATAGCCCACCATAATTCTAGCCCACAGTCTTTGTTCTCTTACTAAAAATTTGAAAGATTAGAGATTTTGCCTTCAGTGTTTGACAATAAAGGCAAAATGTGTGTCCAGCTAGGACTTAGCTTACTAACCAGCTTATTCATTTGTGTTACGAGTTCACAATTAGATTTTTGGGATCAGTTTGTGAAAGTCATTCTTAATTTCTTCTTTGTTGACAATAAGTTTATACTCGCCTCTACGATCAACTTTAAAAGCTTAAATAGGAAAATTTTGCATTTAATGAGTAGATGGCAAGTTCCTAAGAAGATTTATGCAAAATATTTTTTTTACTGTGGCATCCTTAATTCTATTGCAATATAAGTGTTATGGAAAATATGAGCCGAAAATGCATTGAAATATAATCTATGAGTGATTGCTGTGAAACAAACTTAGTATTGCCATGTTAGGCTGAAAGACTGGTTCGAGTATTTCATTAATATCATCTCACCAACACTGCAATGCATCAGATTTTCTGATTCTTCTTATTTTGTGAGAGCCATCATGGAAACCTAACTCTGACAATGTTTGATTCTGATTTTGATGCTGGTTGTTACTCTGAGTTTGAGGTGATTTAAGAACAATGTGTCTCTGAGAAAGTCTGGTATTTGAATAAATAACAATCTTATAGCTAACTATGTGCCACTCCCAGTTCTCTCTCTCTCTGAACAAACCTGATTCACCGACATAACAAAGGATTAGACCAGCTCATTGTTAAACGCTCTTGTGAAATTGAATTAAAGCTCCTGGCACTAAACATGCACTTATATACTTTATTTTTACTCACCAAAACTGCAAAACATCAAACGAGAGACAATTTAAATTCTTGAAAGATTTTGTATTCTGATCATTGTAAAGTTTCTGACAGAAATTGTGCAAACTACAACAAGTCTCATAGAATACAGCTTTACATATGATTACATAAATAAACTTTGCATAAATAAAAAAATTGACAAAGCGTTGTTTATACATATATATAATTTATACAATGACCATGTTGTGTTGTTATCCTATGTTATGTTGCTATGTTCGTGCTGCTATGTTATGCTAGTATGTCATGCAGCTAGGTTAGCAAGTGAAACCTAAACATGAATTTTACATGCTTTTGGAAACTACATTCAAGCAATGGTGAGAGTGATTTTTACACAAAGTTAAATATTTTTATAGTACAGTGCCCAGAGAACCAAAATGCATGTACTATATATATTACATTTGACATAAATAGTAAAATATTGCAAATAATAATTGACATCCCAGGGCTTAATAAATACTGTTATTTGGTTGAGCTTTTTATTTTATCACAATTCAGTGGACCGGGTGCTTAAAGTGTTCGACAGACAAACCTAATTCATAGTCATTAATAGTTCCGGTCAGGGAAAGGTACATTTGATTGTAAGGTCATCCGAAGCCATACAAGACCAAAGACCAAAACCAATATTGAATCTTGGACTATTAACAACAAAGTCCCTTTTCATACCAGTGATGGCATTCATGTTCTGATAGCAATGAAATGGAATTCAGCACTGAAGCTATTGCTGGCTTGAGAAAATCCAGGACAACAGTACCAGGCAGGATGCGGTAATGAAACTGATCTTGTGGCTTACTCCACTTGATGCTGTAAATGAGGAGAAAAAGAAACATTTAGACAGTTTTGTATCATTTTGAAATAAATAAAAACACAATATAGCTTACGTGTGCCGTTCACGTTGATGGAACTGCCTTCAATGTCAAAGCCGGTGACGACTGAAGCAGCACTGATCAAAGCGCTCGAAATCTGAGTGTTATTAGGAACAAATGTGCTTGCAAAGAGAACGTTCATTTCGCTGATGATTGAGCCATTTCTGCAGAATGAGAAATGTAAAATATTATTGAAAAATCTGACTTAGGCCACTACTCTTAAATTGTAACAGGTAAGTCTTAAGAAATTACCTGAATGACACCACATCCAAGGACTTAAAGGAGGAAGGGAATGTCCTTTGGAACACAGGTTCAAGCTGCAGAAACAGAAAATAAATTGCATTTAAACACTTATTACTTGTATGTTTGTGTAAGTGGTACAGTGGGCTGGAGATGTAGTGTAGTTTGCTTCACTCTTAATTTCAGACTTATTGTAAGACTTTAGTTATCTTAGCTCTTTATTTCAAATAATTCTTCTTCTGCAGCAGCAGCATATCTAGCAATCACACATATTTCCTTCAAGAAATGCAAATAATCTAGTTTGTCCTGATGTATTCCCCTTGATGTCTCTTTTTATCAATTCCTCCTGTAAATCTGAACAAGATAGTTTTTTTTGATATAGTACGTAGACTATACAAGAGTGAAAGATGTTCCTGTGGTAGTGTAGAAAACTAATTGTGGCCAGGAGACAGACCGACGGGAGGAACGTATAATGATGGGCACCAATAAAGGATATAGAAAAAAATCTGAGCTATTCATTATTTACAAAAACATTAAGTTTCTTCATGTGTTTTTCTGGGCAGTGTGCACATTTTTTGTGTGAAAAATCGGAACATTCTCTACTAAGGGGATTGACTGGGGCCAAACCAAATCTTTTGCTGATTACTTAAAAATCTTCGTACTACATGTTTTGTTGTTGCTGCAGTAGTTGTAGTTGGAGCAAGTGTTGTTGCTGTAGTAGTTGTTACTGGACTAGTTGTTGTTGGAGCAGTTGTTATTGTTGTTGCTGCTGTAGTTGTTGTGGGAGAAAGTGTTGGTGCTGTAGAAGTAGTTACTGGAGTAGTTGTTGGAGCAGCCGTTGTTGCTGCTGCAGTAGCTGTTGTGGAAGCAGATGTTGTTGGAGTAGTAGTAGTAGTTACTGAACTACTTGTTGGAGCAGTTGTTGTTGTTGCAGCAGTAGTTGTTGTCGGAGCAGGTTTTGTTGTTGCTTTTGTTGTTGTTGGAGCAAGTGTTGTTGTTATTGCTGCAATAATTGTTGTGGGAACAGGTGTTGTTGCTGCAGTAGTTGATGTTGGAGCAAGTGTTGTTGTTGTAGTAATAGTAGTTTCTGGAGTACTTGTTAGAGCAGTTGTTGTTGTTGCTGCTGCAGCAGTTGTTGTGGGAGCAAGTGTTGGTGCTGTAGTAGTAGTTCCTGGAGTAGTTGTTGTTGGGGCAGGTGTTGTTGTTGTAGTAGTAGTAGTAGTAGTAGTAGTTGTTACTAGACTAGTTGTTATTGGAACAGTTGTTGTTGTTGTTGTTGTTGCTGCTGCAGTAGTTGTTGTGAGAGCAGGTGTTGTTGTTGGCGCTGTTGTTGTTGCCAAAGTAGTTGTTGTGGGAGCAAGTGTTGTTGCTGTAGTAGTATTGGCTGGAGTTGTTGTTGTGGGAGCAGGTGTAGTTTCTGCAGTATTTGTTGTTGCAGAAAGTGTTGTTGCTGCAGTAGTTGTCAGAGCAGGTGTGGTTGTTGCTGCTGCAGTAGTTGTTGTGAGAGCAGGTTTTGTTGCTGCAGTAGTTGTTGTGAGAGCAGGTTTTGTTGCTGCAGTAGTTGTTGTGGGAGCAGGTGTTGTTATTGCTGTGGTAGTTGTTGGACTAGTTGTTCCTGGAGTAGTTGTTGTTGGAGCAAGTGCTGTTGTTGTTGCTACAGTAGTTGTAGTTGGAGCAAGTGTTGTTGCTGTAGTAGTAGTTACTGGACTAGTTGTTGTTGGAGCAGTTGTTGTTGTTGCTGCTGCAGCAGTTATTGTGGGAGCAAGTGTTGGTGCTGTAGTAGTAGTTCCTGGAGTAGTTGTTGTTGTAGTAGTTGTTGTGAGAGCAGGCGTTGTCGCTGCAGTAGTTGTTGGAGCAGGTGTGGTTGTTATGGTAAATACTTTGATAGCAGTGCTGAAATATTCATGGCAGCAACAGTTACTCATATAATCACTTCCTCTTTAGTAGTTTTGCCTAAATAAAAGTATGAGAAGCATGTTTACTGCAATCCTGTATTTGGAGTTGAACTGAGCTTTTACTTCGAAAAATTCAGAACAACATTAAAAGTTTGTTGCCTGCTCGACACACCTCTGAAAGAGCCGTCAAAGAATGTGATTCCCCTAAATGTTGTCTGCCTGGATACTGGGGAAATGAAAAAGCGCCCATAGGTTGATGGGTGTGGATGAAACACCGAAACACAAACAGTGAAGCACATACTGTGATCTGAGAAACATTCACTGCAGAATCCATTTGTGGGATGTGGGATTGAACACTCAACTGTAGGGTTGCAAATCTTGCACTTTACCAACTGAGCTAACCAAACAACATTTGGGTTGTTTTGTTTTTTTTCATTATCATCATTGGACGCTGTGTGTGCCGCTTCTCATGCAAATGTAATGTCCGTACTTGTATAGCGCCTTTCTAGTCTTTTCGACCACTCAAAGTGCTTTTACACTACATCTGCATTCACACACATTCATACACTGAGCCTAAGTGCTCAAACAGAAACTAACATTCACACACATTCATACACTGGCGGAACAGGGGCGATTCAGGGTTCAGTATCTTGCCCGCCCCACGCTCACAAACAATACGCACAACTCCAGCTATTCTGCAATTCTACTCCTGCTGCTTCACTAATCTGGTTTTCTACGTTACGCTACTAGTTGGATTCACTTTCTCACACTCTGCAACTTTTTCTCTGTGTGCTCTGGTTACGCTACGGGATCTGCTAAACCAGTGGCTTTTTCCAGTTGCTACGCTACCTTGCAGAGAGGTCGACAGGCTACTTCCAAACCTTGGCTTTATTCTGATGATCCCCAAACTGCCAACAGCTGTAATTAACATTGACAACGGCTTGATCCTCCACAGTAGTCTCTGTTGAAGCTTGGCTGTGATTCTCTGGTGGATGGTCTGTGGCTTGTAAGCTAACACTAGCTAGCATTGGACAAGCTAGCGGTCTCCTCCAGCATCATGGCTTTCCTAAGGTACTCCACTTTGGAACTCAAGAATCTCACCTCACACATCGTACCGAGTAACGTTAGCCTTGAGGTGATTAAATCTCTCCATCTCTTACGCCCCCCCCCCCCCCCCCATGTGCACAGGGCTGCCCAACATAAGTTTTTTTCCTGGAGACACCCCCGGCTACTCTTTGGTGTATCACTACTCAGCGACGACGTTATCAGAGTAAGCCACGCCTACATTCATTTAACCTATGGCCCTTGGAACAGGCTGTTGATGTCATCCCCCATGCCAATACATCTGTCTATAAATCTGCCTCATTTATGCTGCTTAACACTTGCTCACTAAATAATAAAGCGCCACTCATACACGACATCATAGCTGACAGGAAACTGGATTTTCTGTGTCTGACTGAAACTTGGCAGAACCTAATGGACTTTCTTGCGCTTAACCAAGCTACCCCCCAAAGCTATAGTTATATTCAAAAGCCCTGTGGTTCTGGACGTGGTGGGGGACTGGCTGTCATACATCATGCGTCCATCCAGATAAAAGTTTACAAATAATAATATAAAAATTTCCAGTACACGCCTTCATTTGAGTGCATTCACTTTGCTCTGTCTGGGTCTCTGCAGCTGCAATTGATCCATGTCTATCGCCCGCCTAAGGCATCTGCTAGTTTCCTGCCTGAGTTTTCTGACCTCCTTGCTCTGATTTGCCCCACCTCTCCAGCTACCATCCTACATAGTGACTTTAACATCCATGTTGATTCCAGTGATGTTTACGCTGCAGAATTTTTGTCACTACTGGACTTACAGACTGTTGACCTGGCCATTTCAGATCACCTTGCTGTCATGTTCTCTGTTTCTGTGCACACATACAGGAAGTGTGTGAAAAGGACCATTGCATATTGTAACATCAAACAAGTATGCATACCTAAACAATCCTGTACCCTTGCAGGCCATCTTCTCAGTTATCCCCCAAACCACAGTTGATGACTTGGTTAATCACTTCAATCCTATCTCACCAACAGGCATCTGCTCTGAATTGGCACCAGTCTCACACAGCGTGCCTCAGTGCTTGGCCACTACTATTTAATATCTACATGCTACCTCTTGGGATGATCATCCGTAATCATGGACTACAATTCCACTGCTACACTGATGACCCCCAGCTGTACATTAGCACTAAATCTCCTACATCCCTTCCACCGCTTATCAATTGCCTGAAGGGCATAAAGAACTGGATGGACAGTAACCTCCTCAAACTGAACAAAAACAAAACAGAACTCATGGTATTTGCCCCGCAGTCAAACACCATGAGGTTGGACATCTCAATCTCTGCATCCCCTCAGAGAGTACGCAACCTGGGCGTCATCATGGACTCCACTCTCTCCTTCCAACAGCATATCAAAAACACTACTGCCTTTCACATTTTAAGAACATCTCCAGACTCTGACAGTGCCTCTCCAGTCTCTGACAGTGCCTCTCCAACTCCCGACAGTGCCTCTCCAGTCTCTGACAGTGCCTCTCCAACTCCCGACTTGACTACTGTAATGGTATCCTGTTTGGTCTGCCCAGCAAGGCTACTCACAGACTCCAGTATGTCCAGAACTCTGTGGCTAGAATGCTCACCCACACAAAACTTGGACTGCACATCACTTCCATCCTGAGGAAGCCTCACTGGCTGCCAGTTAAGTCCCGGATCAAATATAAAATCCTGACGTACAAATCTCTCCATGGACTTGTACCTCAGTACCTCACAGATCTACTCCATGCCTACACTCAGTCATGGTCCCTGCGGTTCTCTGACATGGGCCTGTTCGTTGTCCCTAATTCCAGGCTCCGGACATTTGGTGACAGAGCCTTCTGTGTCAGTGCACCATCACTCTGGAACAAGCTTCCTCTTGCCTTCCGCTCTGCCTCCTCTCTAATAACCTTTAAAAAACAGCTTAAAACACACCTCTTCACTGAGGCATATGGGCTGTAATCTCCCCTGGCCTCACTACTGTAGCTACTGTAGAAACATGATGATGCCACGTGGTGGCGTCCATGGAAGGTTGACCCGTGGTTATGTAGATATAAATGGCTCATTCTAAGGCAATAAAAACATAACAGTTTATTATATAAGGTCTTTATACAACACTGAAAACATAGTGATGGATCTTATATTGCATTTCTGTCGGTAGATACTCAGAGATATTACACACTGAACCTTTAACTGTATTCTTTTTACTGTATTTTAATTTCTTTTTCTTTCTGCTTTTACCGTGTACCTTGTTATTCTTGTAACCTGGGGCAGCAGTGGCTCAGGGGGTAAAAGGGGTTGCCCGTTAATTGGGCTGTATGTCAAAGTGTCCTTGGGCATGATACTGAACCTTGAATTTCCCCCGATGGCACATTCACATTCACACATATTCATACAGCAGAGGTGCTGTATGAATATGTGTGAATGTTAGTTTACGTTTGAGCACTTAGGCACAGTGTATGAATGTGGGTGAACAGGTCAATTCGATGTAGTGTAAAAGCTATTAGTTAAGATATTAGTTTCAAGGATATGTGTCTTTTTCCCCCAGCAGTAGTTGCAGTTTAACAAAACAAAAATGTGTTTTGGATTTCTTAAGGCTGTTTTGTAGGTGGAATGATAAGTCACAGTTTAGTATATTTTTACTATTCTTGGGGAGATGTAAGCACTGTTGATGGACAGTTTGTAAGGACTGAAGATGTTGCCCATCATAATACTAGCCCATAGTTTTTGTTCTTTTACTTTAAGTTATTAGAGAAGAGAGAGATTTTGTCTCCCATTATTGACAACAAATACAAATATAAATCTCGCCAGGACTTGGCTTGGCATGTTTGTGTCACAAGTTCACCATTACATCTTTTGGACAATTTTGTAAAAGTCATCTGTACCTCTGTTTCTTCTTTATTTTGCTTTTACAGTATAAAGTCTGAACTTAAAATGTAATGAGTAGATAGCAAGTTCCAAGATTTATGGTAAACATCTTGTTATCCCTTTCTCACTAGTTCCCCTTTTTCTGTCCTAGTTCACCTTGACTCCCTGTAGTGATAATCTTTCTGTGTGTACCTCAACTGCCTTTTGCCCTGTGATTTGCTGTTTGGAGTTTATTTACAGTGCTGAATCTAATGTTATTAAGAACAACACATCTCTAATACTGTCTGGCAGTATCCGACAGCCACACCTAATCCTTTAAATAACAATCTCATTGCCAAAGGGAATAATGCGCTGCTCGCAGTTCTCTCTTTCTGAACAAACCGTTTCACCGACACAGCAAAGGCTGAGACTGGCTGGTAAGACACTCTTCTGAAATGTAATGATATGAAATCACACCGTCATTAGAATTTTATTATGCAAGTTTATCAATGAAATTAATTATTAATAAATCAAATTTTCATTGCGTTATTGTCAGTGGGCTCAAAACTCACTTAGAAATGAAGCACACACCTGTTTTCTCTGTTGCTTGCATCAGCCACCATTCTGCTTTTAATGTGAAGACACCGGGTCAGATTTGGCACTGTGTGTGCTCCCGAGCCTCTCTCAGACTACAGCGACAACACTGCAGCCCACTAACACCATAAAACAACCGGCTCCCAGCAAAACACAGATTCCATGTAAGGATACAAAATAACAATAAAAGTTTAAAACAATAAAAGCCCATCAGACCAAACAGATGCAGATGATGTTGAGTGTACATCAGCTGCATCTACATCACAGTGAACATTAGAAAAGCTGGAGAAACACAGTGAAAGTCACATTAGCTCGCCTGCTAACGGCGAGCAGTTGCTAACGTTATCCGGTGGAGGAACAGCCTGCTAATGCTATATTAGCGCCGCTGCCGCTGCTTGCTACGTGACATTCAATTTAGATTTATTTTGGTTTTACCTATACTTGGGTGCACAGCTTCTCCACCTCTCGGTCGCTGTAACTAACGTGACCCACATAATATAGAATATTGCAACAAAACGGCGACAACAACACAGAGGAAGAGCCATCCACTAACACTACAGTAAAGTTACATACTGTGGTCTAACTGTTATAAAGTGTGACACAATCTCGTTATAATATTCAATCCAGCTCACTGACCGCTTCCTTATCATCATATACATTTAGCTGTGTTGACATTGCTGAGCCTCTGGTGAAAGATACACAGATAGTACAGATAGTTACTGAAAGCAGCAGGCGAGCTAACGGCGATGTAGCATGTCGGCTAAATCAAGCAGATACTGTAACGTTGCAGTGGGAGTTTACCCAAGTTTCCAGAATGTTGTGTGAAGCTGTCACACTACCTGTCTATAGCCGCTGTCACTCTCCCTTTTTTTCGGGAGTACTGTGCCAATATGCCCGTGTCTTGCTGTGCTGAATGAAAGGTATGGCGCCGGTGTTGATCTGCCTCTGAGCCGAGAAATAACAGAACCTGATCATGTCTGTGTGAAAAGCCACAGCCTGCATACTGGTGTTTCTGCATTTATTGCAGGATTTCTGTATGAAAGTGGTAGTGTTTCTGATTATGCTCGCTCATGAGTTCAAGCGAACACATGTATGAGCACACACCTGGTTGCAATCTTAAAACCGCACCGCTAGTGGCTGCTGAAAACTACATAATGCCCCTTTAAAGCTGCTGGCAATAAACATGCCCTGATACACTTTAACCACCAAAATGACAAAACACACAAGACAATTTAAACTTGAAAGATTTTGTATTGTGATCATTGTAAAGTTTCTGAAAGAAATAGTAGAAACTACAAGAAGTCTCACAGAATACGAATATGATTATATAAATACACTTTGTATAAATAAGAAAATTGAGTGTATTGGTTTGACATACATATCATGGATACCATGACCCTTAAATCATTTTATGTTAAAGTAAAAACCTTGATAAAGAGTAACTTCACGAACTGTCCAGTTTGAAATCTAGCATTCTGATTTTTCAATTTGCATGTTAAAAAAAAACTTACTAACAACAAAGCCCCTTTTAGTCCCTTTTTTAGTAAATTACACTAAGTTAATAACACAGTGCTCAGAATAGCAAGACACACTGACATTACCTTTTACAGAAATAGTAAAATAGTGACATTATTTAGTGACATTGCAGTGCTTTAGAGAAAGAAAGTTTTGTTTAGCTTATACTCTAATGATCTACAAGAACTGAAATTAATACTGATGCTATCGCTGGCTTGACAGAATCCATGACAACAGTACCAGGCAGGATGCGGTAATGAAACTGATCTTGTGGCTTACTCCACCTGATGCTGTATATGAGGAGAAAATGAAACAACACATTAGTTTAATAAACTGTTTTTGAAATTTGAGAGTTTTTTGAAATTTGGAAGAAGCATACAATATAGCTTACGTGTGCCATTCACGTTGATTGAGCTGCCTTCAATGTCAAAGCCGGTGACGGTTGAAGCAGCACTGATCAAAACACTTGCAATCTGAGTGTTATTAGGAACAAATGTGCTTGCAAAGCGAACATTCATTTCGTTGATGATTGAGCCATTTCTGTAGAATAAGAAATGTAAAGTATTTTAAAAAAATATCAGACTTAGGCCACTCCTCTTAAATTGTATCACCTAAGAAATTACCTGAATGATACCACGTCCAAGGAGTTGAAGGAGGAAGGGAAAGCCCTTTGGAACACAGGTTCAAGCTGCAGAAACAGAAAACAAATTGTACACATGGAACACTTTTCACTTTCATGTTTGCCTCACTAAAAATGGCCTAAAATATCACTTTCAATTTAAAATGGCTGACTTCCTTTTGGGTTTAGAGTATGGAGCCAAAAGGCATTTTTGTGTGTCTTGTGATGATACATGTGCTACTAATATTTCGTACGTCTAGGTCAAATGAATTGTGGGGGCTCATTCGTTGAAATATTTTAGGGTAGTTTAGAGTTTATTTACAGTGCTGAATCTAAGGTCATTAGGAACAACACATCTCTAATATTGTCTGGCAGTTTCCAACAACCATACCTAATCCTTTAAATAACAATTTCATTGGCGTTTTATTAAACCTACTGGCAATAAACATGCTCTGATACACTTTAACCACCAAAATTACAAAACACACAAGACAATTTAAACTCTTGAAAGATTTTGTATTCTGATCATTGCAAAGTTTCTGAAAGAAATTGTACAAATTGTAGAAACTACAAGAAGTCTCACAGAACATGCATGATTATATAAATAATAAAATTGAGTGCATTGGTTTGACATACCATGACCCTGTTATGTTGCTACACTGTGTTATGCTGCTATGTTAGCAAGTGAAACCTAAACCGAATTATACATGCTTTTGGAAACTACTACTTGAAGTATTTTAGGGGGCACTATGGAGCCATTTCGTTACTCCTATTCACGAGCAGGGTTGGGTATCGAAACACCGTGCCAATATGGAACTGGTTCCTATACGACCGGTACCTACCAGGCTGAATTACAATGCAAGCTTTGGAACCTCATTTGGGTGCCACTTAAATGTGTCAAATGGTGCTCCGAAACTGATGTGAGAAGCGTTGCCACCATTCACCGCAGTACCAAATTGTAGCGTCCCCTAATGAAAGGCTACGAGATGACAGACGGTTTTGCTCGGTCCTAATTAATGCTGCAAAAATACAGGCAACTGTGAGCCGCAGCCTACACTGAAGAAACAAACCTGGCTCAACAGCCAGCTACATCTCCTCTTCACCCTCTCTGTCCCAAGGCTAACACATGATCCTAACAACAACCGCACCCCATAGCTGCCAATCACATGTAGGAAAATAAATGATTGATAAGCTTCTACATATGTCACATTTGTTGACAGCCATGACACATTCTCTGACCTCCTGGAAACACTGGAAAACACTTTAACTACGTACATTTTTGCCACTTTTGATGTGTGCAAAATTATTTAAGCACGTTTGGTGCTCGGGCCGTAAAAATAGACAGTAGACAGTAACAAAATAGTTCAGTAGTGGTACCAGAAGATTTTATTCTTTGAGGAAGACTTACCTGTGTCTTTATCATAGAAGCTCGAACTATAAAAGCTGCAGATGATGGATTGTTCAAGTCACTTGTAAAGGTGCTTTGAACAGATCTGAAAGTCACCCTTGATGTAAAGAGTGCTACAGTTGTAGATGCAGTAGTTATAGGTGCAATGGTTGTAGATGTGGAAGTTATAGGTGAGGTAGCTGTAGGTGCAGTAGTTGCAGATGTGGAAGTTGTAGGTGAGGTAGTTGTAGGTGCAGCAGTTGCAGGTGCAGTAGTTGTAGACGGAACTGGACCCGCTGTAAAAAATTTTAAATAGAGTTTGTAAATAAGTATTCATGTTCAAACCAAAATGATGCATTTATCTTTGTTTGATATCAAACTGACTTTGGTGCCAGTTTCACTAAGGACTATCATAAAAGGCACAGAAAAAGTTGGAACTACAGACTTTTTAGCAGCTTGTCTAGTTGTGAAGCTGCTAATGTCAAAAATATTAGTTATTTGCATAACAAGCATTGTGGCTGAATACATGGCTTAAAAAAAGGTCATTCTGCCACACAGTTGATTGGATGGATTGATTAGTACAACATTAAACATTGTTTCATTCATTCATTGCTAATGAATCTTGTCTATACCTACATTTCTTGTTAAGCAGCATAATGTTTTGATGACTTACTTAAAAACAGCATGAGCAGCACATGGTATTTTGTATTTGTTTTACATACTGATTAGAGCAAAACAATTTGTTGTGTTTACTTACCTACTGCTAGGACTGTGTTGGGATTTATGCTCACATTGAAGCTATTGTTGGTATTATTCACAGCTTCTACTAAGGTTTGAGCAACGGCACTGTTCTGTGGGAGGTCTGCCATGGGAGTTGTTGAATTGAACACAACTAGCAGTTCCACTTGAGTTCCGTCGGCTCGAGGTTGGGCAATCCTGTATCATAAAAGTAAATGTCAAATACTGATATGAGATGGTTCTGTTGCTGTGTGTTATGGGTGATTTAAACATGACACTGTCAACATTAGAAAAAACGTTCTTTAAAACCATAATTCTGCATATAAAGCAAAGTCAGTGAACCACTGAAAAATGTTTTTACCTGAAGCCCGTCACAATGCAGCGGTCAAACAGATTACGATATCTTGCTTTGTATATAATATTGCACTGCAAAAAGAAACCAACATTGAAACCCTGGAGTAATTTTCGAGCACAATTTTGTTAAAGTTAAACTGAACAGAAATGAACATTTAACTGAAAATAATTTCCATCTTAACAAATGTGCAACTTCAGCTAAAAGATTATATCTAATCGTTCATTGAGAACAATGACACAGCCACTGAATAATGTGTTGAATTTGAAAAGTGACCTACCGTGATAACAACTCGTTGTTCAAGATCTTTATATTGACTGCTGTTGGGGTTAGTGAGGTTAGCTGAAAAAGGTTCTCCTTGCAAATCTGCTGAGATGTTATAAACAGGTGGAGCGGCCAAAGTCGTTGTTGGAGCAGGTGTTGTTGTTGTTGTTGCTGTTGTTGATGCAGGAGCAGATGTTGTTGTAGATGTTGTCACAGTAGGTGATACTTTTGTCGTCGTTGCTGCAGCATTTGCTGTTGTAGCGGGGGTTGTTGTTGCAGATGTTGATGTCGTCTGAGCTGGTGTTGTCGATGCTGTAGTAGTTGGAGAAGGTGTTGTTGTTGCTGTCGTTGTCGGAGCTGATGTTGTTGCTGATATTGTTGCAGTTGGAGCAGGTGTTATTGCTGTTGTTGCTGCTGTTGTTGCAGTTGGAGCAGGTGTTGTTGCTGTTGTTGCTGCTGTTGTTGCAGTTGGAGCAGGTGTTGTTGCTGTTGTTGCTGCTGTTGTTGCAGTTGGAGCAGGTGTTGTTGCTGTTGTTGCTGCTGTTGTTGCAGTTGGAGCAGGTGTTGTTGTAGATGATGTTGGAGCAAGTATTGGTGCTGTTGTTGCAGTTGGAGCAGGTGTTGTTGCTGTTGTTGCTGCTGTTGTTGCAGTTGGAGCAGGTGTTGTTGCTGATATTGTTGCAGTTGGAGCAGGTGTTGCTGATGTTGTTGCAGTTGGAGCAGGTATTCTTGCTGTTGTTGCTGCTGTTGTTGCAGTTGGAGCAGGTGTTGTTGTAGATGACGTTGTTGGAGCAAGTGTTGTTGCAGATGTTGTTGTTGCTGTTGTTGCTGCTGTTGGAGCAGGTGTTGTTGTAGATGATGTTGGAGCAAGTATTGGTGCTGTTGTTGCAGTTGGAGCAGGTGTTGTTGCTGTTGTTGCTGCTGTTGTTGCAGTTGGAGCAGGTGTTGTTGCTGTTGTTGCTGCTCTTGTTGCAGTTGGAGCAGGTGTTGTTGCTGTTGTTGCTGCTCTTGTTGCAGTTGGAGCAGGTGTTGTTGCTGTTGTTGTTGCAGTTGGAGCAGGTGTTGCTGTTGTTGCTGCTGTTGTTGCAGTTGGAGCAGGTGTTGTTGCTGATATTGTTGCAGTTGGAGCAGGTGTTGCTGATGTTGTTGCTGCTGTTGTTGCAGTTGGAGCAGGTATTCTTGCTGTTGTTGCTGCTGTTGTTGCAGTTGGAGCAGGTGTTGTTGTAGATGACGTTGTTGGAACAAGTGTTGTTGCAGGTGTTGTTGCTGTTGTTGCTGCTGTTGGAGCAGGTGTTGTTGCTGTTGTTGCTGCTGTTGGAGCAGGTGTTGTTGCTGTTGTTGCTGCTGTTGGAGCAGGTGTTGTTGCTGTTGTTGCTGCTGTTGTTATAGTTGGAGCAGGTGTTGTTGCTGCTGTTGTTGGAGCAAATGTTGCAGATGTTGTTCCTGCTGTTGTTGAAGTTGGAGCAAGTGTTGTTGCAGATGTTGTTGTTATTGTTGCTGTTACTGCTGTTGTCGGAGCAGAAGTCGTTGCAGATGTTGCTGCTGTAGTAGTTGTTGCTGATGTTGTTGATGCAGAAGGTGTTGTTGTTGCCACTGTCGTTGTCGGAGCAGATGTTGTTGCAGATGTTGTTCCTGCTGTTGTTGTCAGAGCAGAAGCGGTTGTTGCAGATGTTGTTGCTGCTGCTGTTGTAGTTGTATTAGGTGTTGTTGGTGTTGCTGTTACTGCTGTTGTCGGAGCAAATGTTGCAGATGTTGTTGTTGTAGTTGTTGCAGATGCTGTTGATGCAGTAGTTGTCGGAACAGATGTTGTTTCTGCTGTTGTTGTCAGAGCAGATGTTGCCGATGTTGTTGTAGTTGTTGCAGATGTTGATGCAGTAGTTGTTGCAGCAGGTGTTTTTGTCACTGTCATTGTTGTCAGAGCAGATGTTGTTGCAGATGACGTTGTTGGAGCAAGTGTTGTTGCAGATAATTCTACTGTTGTTGTAGTCGTAGCAGGTGTTGTTGTTGCTGTTGTTGCTGCTGTTGACGGAGCAAATGTTGTTGCTACTGTTGATGCTGTAGTTGTTGCAGCAGGTGTTGTTGCAGATGTTGTTTCTGCTGTTGTTGCAGATGTCGTTGTCGCAGCTGGTGTCGATGTTGTTTTTGCTGCTGTAGTTGTCGGAGCAGATGTTGTTGTTTCAGATGTGGTTGCTGCTGCTGTTGTAGTTGGAGCAGATGTTGTTGTTGCAGATGTTGTTCCTGCTGCTGCTGTTGTCGGAGCAGATATTGTTTCAGATGTGGTTGCTGCTGCTGTCGTAGTCGGAGCAGATGTTGTTGCAGATGTTGCTGCTGTTGTCGGAGCAGATGTTGCAGATGTTGCTGTTGTTGTACTCGGAGCAGTAGTTTCATTAGATGTTGTCACCACTGTCGTAGTCGGATCAGGCGTTGTTGTGAGAGGAGATGTTGTTGTTGCAGATGACGTTCCTGCTGTTGTTGTAGTCGGAACAGATGTTGCAGATGACGTTACTGCATCAGGTGTTGTTGTTGCTGTTGTCTTTGTTGTGAGAGGAGATGTTGTTGTTGCAGATGACGTTCCTGCTGTTGTAGTAGTCGGAGCAGATGTTGTTGCAGATGACGTCATTGCATCAGGTGCTGTTGTTGCTGTTGTTGTTGTTGAGAGAGGAGATGTTGTTGATGCAGATGTTACTGCTGTTGTTGTAGTCGGAACAGATGTTGTTGCAGATGACGTTACTGCATCAGGTGCTGTTGTCGCTGTTGTTGCTGTTGTCGTTGTGAGAGGAGATGTTGTTGTTGTAGTTGTTGCTGTTGTTGTTGTAGTCGGAACAGTAGTTTCAGTAGATGTTGTTACCGCTGTGGTTGTCGGATCAGGCATTGTACTTGTTGCAGATGTCGTTCCTGCTTTTGTAGTAGTCGGAGCAGATGTTGTTGCAGATGACGTTATTGCATCAGGTGTTGTTGTTGCTGTTGTCGTTGTTGTGAGAGGAGATGTTGTTGTTGCAGATGTTGCTGCTGTTGTAGTCGGAACAGATGTTGTTGCAGATGACGATACCGCATCAGGTGTTGTTGCTGTTGTCGTTGTTGTGAGAGGAGATGTTGTTGTTGCAGATGTTGCTGCTGTTGTAGTCAGAGCAGATGTTGATGTAGATGACGTTACTGCATCAGGTGCTGTTGTTGCTGTTGTCGTTGTTGTGAGAAGAGATGTTGTTGTTGCAGATGTTGCTGCTGTTGTTGTAATCGGAGCAGTAGTTTCAGTAGATGTTGTTACCGCTCTCGTTGTTGGATCAGGCGTTGTACTTATTGCTGGTGTTGTTGATGCAGTAGTTGTTGGAGCAGTAGTTGTTGCCACAGTCGTTGTTGTCGGAGGAGGTGTTGTTGTCGCCACTATAAAAGTTTCAGCAGGTGTTGTTGTTGCAGATGATGTTGTAGTCAGAGGAGTGCTGTTGTTGCTGTTGTTGCTGTTGTCGTTGTTGTGAGAGGAGATGTTGTTGTTGCAGATGTATCTGCTGTTGTTTTAGTCGGAGCAGATGTTGTTTCAGATGACGTTACTGCATCAGTTGCTGTTGTTGCTGTTGTCGTTGTTGTGAGAGGAGATGTTGTTGTTGCAGATGATGCTGCTGTTGTTGTAGTCAGAGCAGATGTTGATGTAGATGTTGTTGCTTCTGTTGTTGTAGTCGGAGCAGCA